GGTTGCGGAGGCGGCTCACCTGGGTCTTGCCTGGGCGCCCCCAGGCGTGCGGCGTGGATGTGCCCGGCCCAGTCGGGGCCCGCCCAGCCCGTGGTAGCCCTGGGGTGGACCTGCCGGGTTGTGACGTGGTACCAGCTGGGTTACTCTGAGCCCAGAGAGCCTGTTCAGAGAGGATACTTCCTGGGGGTGGGCGCGGGGCGCAGGCAGGACTGTCCCCGGCCCCACCTGGCCTTGGGCACCCTGAGTCTCTCTGGACCCCGCCTATCCAAGCCCGGCTCAGCCCAGGAGCCCCGGGGAACAGGGAGGGCCCTGGGTAGGCGCCCCAGCTGCAGGGGAGCAGCAGCGCACGGCCGTTCGTCCCCCGTTACCTTAACCCTTCTCTGGCCTCTTGTCACGAAGAATTAAAATGCATAATAAGAGCACGGGGGAGGCCCCTGCAATTTGGCCCATCAGCACCGTGCGGGCCATTAGCCGGCGGGTGGGGGCATTAATCTAGTCATCTCTCTCTGGTCTCAATGAATTGTGATAAAAACGTCAAACAATTAGATTATATTGGCCAACAGCGCCGGTGTGATTGAGTAGTCAGGCCGGGCACGTCCCTTGAATCACCCTGACAAAGGGAGCCAGCTCCACACCGCGATAAATCCCCTCGGGCCCTGGCACGGCCGTCAGGAGGTCGGCGTGGGCGGCCAGTGAGCCTGGCTGTCCGTGGAACCCGGGGTGTGGGTGGGGGGCGGGTGGGCAGCCCCTGGGCCGAGGCGCTGAGACCGGGGATCCAGGCCCCACAGGGTCTGAAGAGCCGCGAGCCGGACACAGGAGGGCGGGCGCCACGCTCCGAGGGCCCAGCTCCCACCCTCTGGTCCCCGCCTGCGGGGAGGGTCCGCAGTGGCGCTTCGCTGACGCGCTGCCGGACCTGCCCTTCCCGGGAACCACGGCTGCCTTTTTTTTTTTTTTTTTAATAAGGGTGAAGACGTATTGAAAATTGATTTCTCTGTTGGAAATGGGATAATTAAACTGGTTGTTTCTACCTTCATCATCGTCATAATAAAACGAGAAGACAGCAGGTTACGCGTGGCGTGAGGCAATATCGTGAGCCGTAATGCAGGGAGCGTTAATTGAATACAAATGGCCTTCCCTGAAGTTGCTGAGTTATATTTCAGAGATATGGGATAATGATGCCATTTAATCATCTTTACAAGATATAAAATTACTGGCTCCTCTGGGAAGATCATTAAGGAAAACAATTGTTCACAGCAATTGAAAATAGAGTTTTAATTATTTAATACAGAAATTAAACTATTAGAGACCAGTGTTGCATGAAGTAACCTAATAGAAATTTATATACAAGCGTCTGTGAGCATTTTAGTTTTATTAACCCACCTAATTCCTTAATCCAAACCGACCTGAAGGGCCTCCTTTAGCTGTGACTGTGAGTTCCCTGCTCGGGCTGGCAGCTCGGTGGCGGCGTTCCCGGAGTGGAAGGGGCGGCCGAGGCCCCCCACGGGAGCCCCACTTGGGAATTCCAGGAGCGAGTCCAGGAGCCGCAAGCTGCGGGCAGGTGCGAGGCACGGCCGCGGCGCCCAGGCTGGGGAGTGTGGGCCGGCGTGGGGCGTGCCTGGGGATGCTGTTCTCTGGGACCGAGGGCTCAGCGCTGGCTCAGTGCCCAGCCTCTTCCCTGGCCCCTTGACCCCTTCTGGGGGCACCTTCGGGGACAGTGGGTGTAGGACAGGTGGGGCCCTGCCCCCGGCCACCTGGCTCCTGGACCCCTGCCTTGGGCCCAGGGTCCCCGGCCCGCTCTGCGGGGACCCCCGGCCGTCCTGCCGCCCTCCTCGCCCGGGAGCGGCTGAAGGACAAGAGCCTGGACTTGGTCGGAGAATCCACGCTGGCTGGGGGCTTGCGCGAGGGCGAGGGAGGCTCGGAACAAGGATTATGATTTAAAACTCTCGAAGCGGAGAATCCTTTACCACATTAAGTGAAAACATGAGAGAACTGTTGTGGGCGCCGCGTCGTGCCTGGCCCGGCAGGACCCGGGCAGAACCAGCGCCTTCGGTGTAGCTTTGGCTACTGTCTTTGCTCCTTTTGGTTACTTTGCTGGCATTTTCCAAATTTCCTATAATAAAACAGTTATTATTTTAAAATGCTTATTTCAAAGATATGGAAATTTTCAAGACGTAAATTAAGGAAATAAAAGGACATTTTTAAACAAGGCGGCTGACGGGCACGAGCTGAACACCTCGGACTGGGGGCGTCATTGCAGGCGGGGCCGGGGCTGCAGAGACTCGCGGGAGGGAAGCTGCTGGGGTTGTGGGGACATAAGGACCCCTGACTCACGGGCCGCGGGGAGGGCAGGCCCTGGCCCAGTCTGGGCCCCGGGGTGAGCCATGCAAGGTCGTGGTCTGAAATCCCAGCGCTGGTCCCTCGCCGGGTTGCTGGGCGGTGACCGTCGCCAGGTGGGAGGGACGCGTGGCTGCCCCTTCCCGCCCCAGCCCGGGCCGCGCGGCAGGGTGGGCGCCTCCTGGGAGCCTCGTCCCTCCGGCCTGGCCTGCGGGTCTCCCTGACGCGCTCGGAACTCCCAGCCTGGCCTGCCGCAGAGGGCGATCCAACATTCGAATTATCACCAATAAATTCCGAGTGATCTTTTTTCTCCTTATAGTTTTTAGGGTTACATAAATGTCACCTATGCAATTTTTTTATGCTTGAATATATTACAGAATGCCGCTTCTGCTATAGGAGCTAATTGATAATGTGATTTGTTATGTTGCCGGGACATAATTCAGAAAGTTATTTTAAAGCCTGTGATGCATGGAACGGCACTCGCTGTTTAATATTTCTCACATGAGCAGACACAGCGTCAGGTAAAAAATGTGCCGTGCGGATGAAATATCTCCAGAAGCTTTTATTCTTGTTGTTTGGGCGTGTGCCAACACCTTTCTAGGAGAGAGCTCATATTTCCAATGCTGCTCTGATTTGAATTTATTTCCTGGTCATTAGCCCTTTTTTTTTTTTAAGCTGGAACAAGTATGTGTATATGTTTGAAAAAGGAAAAATCAAACAAAAAAGGGGGAAATTACACACAACCTTTTAATATTATGAAAGATGCGCATTTAAAATTTTTTATGTCAAATGAATTATAGATTCACAGGAAGTTGCAGAAATAGTGCAGAGGGCGCCGTGTACCTCCCACCCTCCCTGACGGTGACATCCGACCGCTGAGGTCCCCGGCAAAGCCAGGGCTGACCCTGGCGACCACATTTCGCAGGCGTGCGTGGGAGGGTGCGCACGCCTGTGTCTCTGCAGCCGCCCTCATGCGCGCAGTCAGACTCACCACTCTGTGTCCCTGGTGTGTCACCCCCGCCCCGCCCGTGTCCCGGCAACATTGATCCGATTGTCTCTGGGGTCTTGCACGTGGGTGCTGCGTGAGTGGCGCGTTCCTGCCGCTCGCACTTGGCGCAGCCCTCGTGGCCTTCGGTGGCATCAAAGTCGCCGTGTGGTTGTTGCGAGAGGTGTCGCGCCCCATGAACACGCCGAGTTTGCGGAGCCTGTCTCAGGACATCGGGGCGGGCCCAGTGCTCTGCTACAGTGAACAAAGCAGCCACGAACGTTCACGCACACGCGTGGGAACCCGAGCCCCAGGTGCAGGTGCCAGGCTGCGGGCGGTTCAAGCCCAGCTATGGAAGGAGCTGCCAAACCGTTTCGCAGAGGGGCCGCGCCACCCACTCTCCACCAACAGCGCACGGGAGACCCTGCCTCTCCGCATTTGATGTTACCTCTATCTCTAAAAGAGATTCAGCTGCCGTACTGGGTGTGTAGCGATATGTCATCGCGGTACTAACGTTGTTGACTCTGTTTGGCCCATGTTTTGGCTGCATGTCCCGACTCCGAAGTCCCGGCCCCGGGATGCGTCCCCCAGGCAGGGACGGCACAGCAGACCCTGCGCCGGCTCTGGCCCCCCCCCTGCCCCCGTCTGACGCCGAGGACAACCTGGGGTCGCACTGCGCAGGCCCGGTGGCAGGTCTGCCCACCTGCCCTCCCATCTCGGGTCCCAGGCTGAGGAACAGCCCCACCTTGGGCCCAGGCAGAGGGAAGGGACAGCAGCTGGCGGGGACATGCATGGCTTGAAGCTATGGCCCCTGGGGACCGTCCTTGGCATGCAGTGGCAGGGAGGGGACGTCTGCAGGGAGGCTCTCTGGGCCCGGTGGCAGGGGCAGGGCTGCACAGTGCCCCTCGTGGACCGGCGCCCGTTGGCCGCCCCCAGCCCGTCTGGTCCAGTCGGGAGAAGTGTGTTCAGAAGACACGTCCCACCCCGCCCCGCCCCAGGAACCCCGGGCGCGGCAGCCGCTGGAGAGCTGAAGTGAAACGGGGTGTCTCTCCGCCGTCTCTCCCCACACTGCTTGCTGGTGGACAGACCCAGCGCCCAGGAGCCCCTGGTTCCGGACGCCCCGGCTGGCCGGGGACGCCCCTCGCACGGCCCCCTTGGAAGTGCTGGGGCTGCTGCCGCCGGGAGCCCCCAGCCCGGCACCCCTGGTGCCAGAGAGCACAGCACGGAGACTGTTTTTGTTGTTTACTGAAACGCTCAAGAACAAACTCGTGGTCCTGACAGTTTTTCTGGTCTCAGGAGCAGAACACCAGCCACTGCGAGTGCTGCGAGGGGCGGCCTGCTGGGCGTGAGCTGCGCAGGGGCCTCGTCCCCAGGGCAAGGCACTGGCGGCCTCACGGGAGGGGAGGCCACCCCACCCCAGCAGCGGCCGCGGCTCCGCCCGGACGGACCACAGGTGCACACAGGGCGGGGACGAGCTGGGGTCCGGGCGGCCACGGGTCGGCCCTGCTGCGCGGCTCTCCCGCCTGCCGCAGACCCCCGGGGTCGGGAGATGGGTCCGGGGCTGCCCTGTGCACGGCTGCGAGGCGGCCCTGGGTGGGCCGTGGGGTCCTCGGGGCAGAGCCAGGGCGGAGGGAAGCGCTGAGGCAGGGGCCCCCGGAGACGGTCCAGGCCCCGCCACCCGCTAGCCGATGGCTTGGTTCGGCAGCCCATAGAGGACCAAGTTGAGGGCGGCAGGGAGCAGTTCAGACCTCCCGGGCTGCGGCTGCAGGAGCGCGGGCTTGTCCCGCGAGGTGTGCGGAGCCTCGTCTGTGGGGAGCAGGACGCAGCGGGTGAGGCCGACGCCCACTGGGCACAGCTGTCGGCCCCCAGGACAGGACGGGCAGCCTGAGCGGGGGGCTGAGGGGCAGGCGCTCGGCAACCCCAGGCGGAGACAACTACCCTACTCCCTCCCTCAGTCACTCACTCCACAAGCATTTACTATTTATCGTTTGGACACCACACCCCAGGCCCTGTGGACCACTTGACTTTCGAATGGTAAACTCCTGTGGAGTCGTATGTGTTGGAGGTTTCATCATTTGAATCGTCCTGGCACAAATCTTTCCTAGTTATGGAAGATCATTCCTTCAGTGCTTTGCTAAATGCTGCTGCTTAGTGTTTTGTTTGCCGTTTCTCAGCAGGGTCCCCGTGCGACATGTCCCTGCCGCTTTCCTGTCACCCCTGTTGGCACATTCGCGTTAAGGCTCGTGGGCTCTGAAGGTTGAGTGTGACGGGTCACGGACTGTGTCCCTGCCCGGCTCTCCCCAGGGACGGGAGGACAGAGACGGGCAGGCCGATCCCTGACCCCGGCTTGGGGTTCACTTCCGGGCGTGTTCTTTCCTGGGCTGGGATTACTGGCCACGTCCAGGGTGACCCCACTTGCGCCGTGGCCTGCAGGCTGCCCAGCCCAGGTGGCCGACGCACCCACGGGGCCTTGCTCTGGGAGGAGGGGTTTTCCCGTCTGTTCCCAGAGAGCGTACCTTCTAGAATTTGGAATCCGTGTGACTGGAATTGCGTAAAGAGGAATTAGCGGCTCTAGTGACTGGAGCATTTCCTCACGGAGTGTTGGCGCCGGCCCCGGCGGCCGTTACCGCAGAGGCTGCGCAGAAACGGGGCCTCCAGGCGGGGACAAGCGCACCCTCTTCCTGGCCCTTAACGTCTTAGAACCCCAGTTTCCTCCAGGGGAGCAGTGGGGTGCCCTGTCCCTGCGGGGCTGTGTGGGGCGCACCCGAAGTCCCCGCCTTACCTCGGTTAACCGCCTCATCGCCTCCCGCCCTCTGGAGCAGACGGACCGCCGCCCCTACCGGCTTGCCGAACGTTAGCAGATCTGGGAAGGAACGTCCCCTCAGATAGGCGCGGCGCCCTGCGCAGGCTCCCGGGGGCAGCCCTGAGGGCGCAGGGCGGGTGGGGTGCCGGCACCCACTCACTCTCCCACAGGACGCTGGCCCGCCACGCGTTGTCCTGCAGCCGCGCCGGCCACTGGTTTGCCACGATGCTCCTCACTCCTGCCAGGCTCAGGAGGATGGCGGTCTCGATGGGCTCCTCCAAGGACAGCTGGGACGGGCTGCGAGGACCCGGCTCCTGGGGGCTGCGCCACAGACCGGCCCGGTCCTCCCCCGCCCTCCCCGTCCACACCGGACTGCCCCAGCGGTTGGGATGCACATTTGGGCTGACGGCTCCAAAGTTAAATGCCACTTAACGAGAAATGGCCTTTCAGAGAGCTGCCAAACCCTTCCGGGCACTCCCAGCCCTGGGCAGAGACCCCAGGGGAAGCCGCCCCTCCGCCTCCCACCAAGCCCCGCAGGGCCCGGCTCTGAGCTCCAGCCACGCCGGGGCCTCCCAGGCTGCCACAGCCCCTCCACCCGCCGGAGCACAGGTCCTGCTCCCAGGGGGAGCTTCTCCTGGGGGTTCAGGGCGACCCGTCCCTCCCGCCCAGCCCTTGCCACGCGAGCACAGCCATTGCTCACACGCCACTGCCCCAGGCACCTCTTGTTTTCCGAGTTTTCCACGTGCCGCCGCAGGCTGTCGTGGGACCGCGCCCTGTCCAGGAGGACGATCAGGTGGCACTCTGCAGGACACAGGGCTGGCTCAGCAGCTGCAGGCCTGGTGGGCGGCGCCCGGTCTGCGCACCTGGGCTCGGGTGGATGGAGCAAACGCTGTGCCATCGAGCGCCTTCTGGAGACCCACGAGCCACCTGCGGGCGCATGGGCCTGACTGCTGTGGGAGCCTCCCCCATAGCCCCTGCACGCCACAGGGCTCCACTCGGCCCTTCCTGTGGCTGCCCCTGCCCAGCTGAGCGGTCTCAGCTCCCCCATCGTGCCTGGAAGCTTCCAGTGCTCCACAGCGATGGGCTGTTTGAGACTGCCCCAGTCCACGGAGAGAGACCCTGGCTCTGGCCTCCACCTGCCGTGTTTAGGGGCATGGCTGAGCTGCCACGGCAGGGGCGGGCCAGCTGGAGGCCTGTGGTCTGTACGCTCTGTGTGGGGCAGGTGCAGGGAGGCCACGGGTCCCAGGGGGCTGGATGCAGGAGGTCCCTGGGAGCAGCACGGCCCCAGCACACGGGGAAGGGTGGGCCTCCCTGGCCAGCTGCGCCCACCGGACCAGGTGCCGGTGTCCAAATGCACCCCTGGGTGTGACTGTCTGCCACGAGCGCCACAAATGCAGAGGGGGCGGCTGCCCACGTCCCCCGCACCTGGCAAGGCCTCCCGTCTACACTGCCTCGTGAACTCACAACCGTCTACCGCTTCACTCACCATCCTGCTCAGAATCAAACTTCTGAACAAGCCCGACTCCCGCCAGGAGATGTGCTCACCATGGGCGGGCGTCTGCCCAGCGCAGGCCTCAGGCCAGCAGAGCCCGGGAGGGGGACCTGGGCTCCAGGGACAGTGGTGGGCGTGGCGCCCTGACCACGGAGACGACCACGTGCTTGCTGGGCTGCCACCGACGGGCCACGTACCCCAGAAGGAGGGACGTTCTCCAGGGGCCCTGTAAAGGCCCACCTGCCAGCTGAGCACAGCACTGGCCACCTGGCACCACCCAGGAGAAGGCCAGGAGGGCCGCCGGGTGCCCCCACGGGGCATCCTGGGCACACAGACACCCTGTGGGTCTGCGGCCGCGGGTGCTGAGACGGGAGGGGCAGCCTTCCTGGAGGCGGAACACAGCCCCCAGCCCGACAGCCAGCCCTTGGCGGTGTCTGAGTGCCCTGCGCCTGCTGTCGCGGGGTGACTGCTGTGTCGGCCGCCCCTTGGGCGTGGGGGTGCGCGTGAGCGGGGCACTCAGGACGCCTGTTGTTGCTGCTCGTGCCACGTCCCCTGCTGCCAAAGCCCACGTGTCCTCCAGCTGGCTGGCGTGTGGCTGTCCCGGGCCATAGCGGGGACACCTGGCAGCCTCCTCCACACTCAGTGGACGGTGAAAGGGAAGACAAGGCCGTGAGCACTCACATTTAGACTAGGAGCACTCTGTGAGGAGGGGCCACATTTCTAGCATGTTCTAGAAAAGCCCTGGCCTCCAAGGGCCCAACCCTGGAGGGGTGACCGGGCTGGGTCTGAGCTGCGGTCTCTGAGAGACAGAAGACAGGAGGGTCCGAAGCCGGTGGCTGCCGCATGTGTCCATCTGCAGACTCAAGGTGTGGCCGGAGGGGCCAGCGGCTGGGCAGGGCGCGGGGTCGGGGGGAACCATGCCTTGCTAGAGCATCCCAGGCCCTCTGGTCCCTTTACCAGGTGCCGGTGGCACTGCTCTGTCCTCCGTGCGGAATCTCGTGCCCACGGGTCCTGGCGGAGGGGGCTGTGGGGAAGGGGTGCTGCGGGGCCCCGTCTCACCTTGCAGGTTCATGGCGACCAGTCTCTCCGCGACTATGTGGGACAGGAAGCTCTCCATCCCGTAGAAGAAGAAGCCGCTGCAGCTGCCCAGGGCCTGCTCCCACTGCGCCTGGCTGCAGAGACAGGAGGGACAGGCGGGCGCCACATCAGCCTGACCGCGCCCAGGACCAGATCTGCCCTGTGCCCCGCCCCTCCCTGACCACACCTGCCCCTGTGCGCCGCCCCCAGCCCATCCACACTGAGGGCAGGGACGCACGTGGGTCCCTGAGGCCAGGAGCCAGCCCCTCTGCCCCCACCGCCTCTGGGTGCTTCTGCACCACAGGAGTCTGGGGTTTCGGGGCTCAGACCCTGCGGGAGCCCAAGGTCCCCCGGGGAACACCCTGCGCTGGGCCTCGTGCCGGTGCGTGACCAGGCCCAGGTGCAGACCCGGCCGGAGAGAGGGGCTGGCTGCGCGCCGTGGCGCCCCGAGACCCACCCGTCCTGGGACTGGCTCCTGAGAACGCAAATGCAAACCTCGGGAAGTGACTGGTCCCCAGATGTCCCACCCATCGCGAAGTGAACGTGTCTTGGAATCGTTCCAGAATTTCCCGAGTCACAGAGACAGGAGTCAGCATTTCTGCGGGAAGAGGGTGGGATAGACCTTGGGGCCGGGGCCAGCCTCGCGCCCTGACCGGCAGGGGGGTGGCGCGCCTCCCCTCCATCGTGGGAAACCCGGCAACCCATAGCATCTAAAGCAGCGAAGGGCTGGCTCAGGTTCTGATTCGGGGCCCAGAGAGGGCGCCAGGCGCTGGGTTGGGGCTGGGCCAGGGGCCTGCGGCGAGTGCCCACCTGGGCCCCGGGCCTCCTCGTGGGGGTCCACCACGACTGCGCTGCCGTCAAGGAGGAACAGCGGCAAGGCTGGCTCGGGCCACCACGGCCTGTCAAAGGATACACTTGAAGTTGTCGGCGTCCACGACGAAGCAGTCGGAGGGGATCGTCCGGCGGATGCTGCCCTGCAAGGCACGGTGTCACGGCCCGTCCTGCACCCCCGGCCCGGCCGTCGGGGGCCACCCTGCCCCTGCCCCACCTTCTTGCCCTTCCTGGTGAGGCTTCTCCTCTTGGTGTCGCGTCCCTCCTTCCTCGTGCCGCCGTCTGTGGGGACAGAACACAGGCGCAACGGTGTGAAGGCATCAGACGCTGCTGAGTCGTCCACTTTAAGGGTTAATTTTATGTTACGTGAATCTCGCCTCGATAAAAAAATAAGTAGTGAGAACAATTTAACTTCTGTAAAGTTGAAATGGCAATAACTTCTCAAACGTGGAGGCTCTCAGGGCTGGGAAGGGCCCATCTCTACAGGTGCCCAGGCCCACAGCCGCCCATTTGCACACCCCGCTGGGCACTCACCAGTGTGCCTGCAGCGGCTGGGCCCTGCTCCAGGGCCGTCTGTACGGGACTGACAACCTGTCCCCTTTCCACATGGAACTGTGGCTAGGGGCGTGTGGATCCTTTTGGAGGTGCTGCGTGGGCAGCGTGTGCCTGGGAGCAACGACGGTTTTCCTCCTTTCTTCTCCCCTCCTGCCTTTCACTGCCGCTCTGGGCTGGGCCCGGCGGACGGCAGGTGCAGGTGCCGAGGGGCCCTGCCTGCCCGCGTGACCGGGGATGGGGGACGGGGGACAGGGGACGCTCGCTCCGGGTTTGGTGGATCCTTTATCAGGACGGGAGAGTCCTCTGTTCCTGGTTCACTAACAAAGTTTATTCTGAACATGAGCGTTTTAGCAAATGCTCATGCCTTCGTCCTCTTACTCCGTTCACCTGTGACCTCCGCAGGGTTTTATGGTTACTGGGTGACGGAAGGTTTTCTCTCTTTCTTTCTCGTGCTGTTCTCGAGCAGCTGGGAGTCAGACGCCTACGGAAGGACGGGGGTCGTGCTTTTTTCCTGGGCTAGTGGAGAATGAGGCTGACGTGATCTGTGGGCTGAGAGTCTGGTGGAACTCAGTGCGGAAACTGCAAAACTGACGCCTTCTCTGTGGGAGGAGAGTGACTCTCTTTGCATCTGTGACTCTCCTTTGCTACTGGCTGCGAGACCGTCAGGGTTTTCTTTCCTTCTTGAGTCCGAAAGTGTTTTTTTCTTGTGCTTTGCCCATTTTGCTCACGCTTTTAAATATATCAGTGCAAAGTTGTCCGGAATATTCTATCATCCTTTAAACCTCAGAGACATCTTCAGAGTTTGTGTCTCTTTTTCTTCCTGATACTGCTTATTTGTGCCTCATTAATTTTTTTGACCATTATGACAAAATTGTGTCTATTTTATGAGTTTTCTTTGCAAACAACCAGTTTTGTCCCTGCCGGCCTCTCTGCCGCTCGAGTCCTGTTTGTTGGTGCCTCGCGCCCTCCCTTGCCTTTCTCTGGGATTAATCTGCTTTCTTGCTCTCACTTCTTGAATTAGGCACTGAGCACAAACATTTCAAACCCTTTTCCTTTTCCGACGTAACCATTTAAAGCTAAAATACACTACTGAATTCTGCTTTGGTGACATCCCGGTAGGTTTTGACATTTCCATGATCACATCATTTCCCATGAGTCCCACGAGGTGTTTACACGTGTGTGCTCCGATCTCCAAGTGTGTGGGGATGTAAACTGCCCATCGCTTGGTAACCAGCTTCTGTACTAACCACCCGTGGTCCCCGATGGGGCCGTTTGCTTTTCAGTTGTGCGATTGCTCCACGCGGACGTGAGAAGCCTGCAGCTCTCCGCTGTTCAGGCACGGAGTTCCACACGTCCACTAAGCCAAGACTGTTAACTATGTTGTCCCAAACCTCTGTCTTCCCTCTTTTGTTAACTGTCTGACCTGTCAGTCACCTGGGTGTGGTGAGACCAGGCATCAGGCAGGTCAACCAGCCTCACCTTGTAGCTCCCGTTCCTTTTTTTTTTTTTTTTT